GAGGGAGGGCAGGGGGGGAAGCAGGGAGATCCAAAGCACAGTCGAAGAGGAGGGTCTTCAGATGGGTCTTGAAGGTGGCGAGGGAGGGGGCGAGATGGAGGGACTGCGGGATGGATTCCAGAGGGAGTGCAGAGTGGCGGAAGTCCCGCCCGCCGATAGTGGAGCGAGCAAGGCGGGGGGCGTGAAGCAGGCCGGAGCCCGCTGAGTGGGATGGTAAGGGGTTAGGAGGTCGGAGAGTTAGGGGGGAGGACCAGGATCTTGAACTGTATCCTCTGTGTGATGGGAAGCCAGTGGACAAGGGTGGGGGTGTTAGGGTCATGGAGCCTGGTGCGGGAGAGGACATGTGCTGCAGAGTTCTGGATGATCTGCAGCCTGTGGAGGAAGGAGTTGGGGAGGCCGACAAGCAGGGAGTTTGCATAGTCGAGCCTCCATGTAATGAAGGCATGTATGATGGTTTCAGTGGCCTGAGGTGTGAGACTGTGTCGGAATCGAATGACGTTGTGGAGGAGGTGGAAGGCAGAGCTGGTCATGGCGTGAATGTGGAGTAGAAAGAATAGTTGAGGGTCGAACAAGACCCCAAGGTTCTGGACTGGCTTAGCAAGGTGGAGTGTGCAACTATGGATGGTGATACTGTCGGCGTCTGAGATGAGGAGGTGCTGATGGGAGCCAATCAGGAGAGCCTCGATCTTGTTGACGTTCAACTGAAGAAAGTTAGCTCTCATCCAGGACTTGATGTCTGACAGACATTCTGTCAGGACAGCAGTGGTACTGAAGTCAAGGTGGAGGCAGAGAGGTAGAGTTGGGTGTCATCCGCATACATGTGGAAGTTGACCCCATGTCTGCGGATGATGTCACCAAGAGGGAGCATATAGATATTGAAGAGGAGGGGACCAAGGACAGAGCCCTGAGGAACGGTCCCGGGGCTAGAGGAGCAGCATTTGAGGAGATGAAGTACAGGCGGTTTGAGAGGTACGACCTGAACCAGTCAAGGACAGTGGCTTGGATGTTGAGGTGAGAGGAGAGGCGGTGGATGAGGATAGAGTGGTCGACGGTGTCGAAAGCAGCAGAGAGGTCAAGGAAGACGAGGAGGCAGAGGGAGCCCTGCTTGCAGATGGACAGAATGTCATTTGTCACTTTGACCAGAGTGGTTTCTGTGCTGTGGGAGACACAGAAGCCCGATTGGAGGGGTTCGAGAAGGGAGTGGCAGGAGAAAAAAGAGCAAAGCTTAGAAGCAACAACTCGTTCCAGGACCTTGGAGAGGGGGCGGTAGGTGGAGAGTAGAGAAGGGTCCAGGAAGGGTTTTTTTAAGGACAGGAGTGATGACAGCGTTTTTTAAAGGGGTGGGAACAGTACCACAGGACAGGGAGAGGTTAACAAAGTCAATGAGTAATAATAATAATAATAATAATCCTTGCATTTGATATAGCGCTTTTCACGTCGGGAGGATGTCCCAAAGCGCTTCACAGAACACACTGTAAAGTGAATTGACTGTATATTTGTGGGCGAACGCGGCAGCCAATTGCGCACAGCAATGTCCCACAAACAGTCGTAGATTGAAAATGACCAATTTATTATTGTTTTTAGTTTTTGGAGGGATTATTATTAGGTGTGTGGAGTAAGGAAACTTGCCCAAGGTTTCGCCCTGCCTGGAATTGAACTTAGGTCTCTCGCTTGCAAAGCGAGTGCTCTGACCACTGAGCTACAGGACTCCACAAGGAGTAGAGGAGCAAGGAGGTGGAGCTAGGAGGTAAGGAGGGGGGTAGGGATAGGATCCAGGGAGCAGGTGGTAGGTTTCATACGGTTTATGGTTGTGATGAGCGAGGAGGGGGAGACGGGTTCAAAGATGTGGAGGGAGCGATGGTTAGGGGCTGGGGTGGGAGGAGGAGATGGGGAGGGGGTAATAGTTGCAGTGGTAGAGGCAGCTGAGCAGATTCCCTCGACTTTGGATTCGAGGAAGTCCAGCAGTTGGCATTAAAGGTGAGGATGGGTGAGGCGTGAGAGGGTGGGCGGAGGAGTCGGTTTGGCATGGAGAAGAGGAGCCTAGGGTTGTCCTTAGCCTCCATGATTGTCTTGGAGTAGAACAATGATTTAGCGGAGGCGAGGGCAGAGCAGTAGGATTTGACATAGTCCAGCCAAATTTGCCGGTGAACAGTTAGGTTTGATTTAAGCCAGGCGAGCTCAGCGGAACGCACCTGGTCTTTAAGGGAGCGAAGATGGCTGATGTACCAAGGTGATTTGCGTGAGTAGGAGACGGTTCGGGAAGAGAGGGGAGCGAAGGAATCGAGTGGAGGAGAAGGAGCTGTGTAGAAAGTTGATCGAGGAGGATAATAATAATAATAATAATCCTTGCATTTGGTATAGGGCTTTTCACGTCTTCTAGACATCTCAAAGCGCTTCACAGAATATACTGTAATGTGAATTGACCGTATATTTGTGGGCGAAACGGGGCAGCCAATTGCGCACAGCAATGTCCCACAAACAGTCGTGGATTGAGAATGACCAATTTATTATTGTTTTGTTTTGGAGGGATTAGTATTATATTATAATGTAATATATAATATAAAAGGATAGGTCAGTACAGGAGAACGCCCAGAGGGGAAGGAGTTCAGATGACTCCAAGGCAGCCGAGAGGGAGTGGGGGGGAGATTTTTTTCCAGGGGTGGTATGAGTTGGAGGTGGGTGGCAGTGGGGAGAGGGATTGAGGAATTAAGGGAGTTGAAATGATGGTCCGAGATCGCTTTGTCGATGATGGTGAGGACCGAGATGGTGAGGCCCCGAGTGATCACCAGGTCGAGGGGGCGACCGCGGACGTGGGTTGCGGAGTGGATGTGGAGGGAGAGATTGAGGGAGGAGATAAGGAAGTCAGCAGAGGTAGAGCAGGAGGGGGTGAAGTGAAGGTTGTAATCGCCAAGGATGCGGAGGCGTTCAGAGCAAAGGGAGAGGGAAGATAGAAGGGTGGAGATGTCAGGGATGAAGGTGGGGGAGGGCTTGTGGGGCGGTAGATGAGAATTTTGAGGGAAAGGTTTGAGGTGTGATAGTGGGTAAGGTGCTCATATATGCACATTTAATTTTAGATCTATGCCATCCAGTCCTGCTTTTGCGGAATGTTTAATACTTTTACACACCTCACATCATTGTAATCCAAATTTGGATTATGTCCCCCTAGTCATTTTCTATAACAAGAATGAGTTTAGTTCTGCAAGGCTCGTCTTATAACTTAGAACATTTTTAGCACTTGAGGCTCAGAATCATCTTTGTTGCATTTATTTGAATCCCTTACCAATACTTTAGTGCCCTTTAAAACGTAGGGTATTCAAAACAACACCTAGATTTGGTTTCACAAGCAATCTATGTGGAACAGAATTATTTATTTCAATTTACAGATGAATGTATTAAGATAAACTCGAACTTGATTTTTTTTTGACAGCAGCTAATTGATTTTGAACCTTAAGTGAATCATCAATAATTATGACCAAATCCTTTTCATTCTTTAAATCTATTTATGGACACCCCATGATTTTGTACGTGTTCCTTGCCTTTTATTCCAATATGCATGACTTTGCATCTGTCTGCATTAAAATTCAGTGTTGGCATTTTCTGAGTTTTTGTTTATTTTTGGGTGGTGGTGTGAGCTTGTGTGAGTTAAAGTATAGCTAGCTGATTGCAGGCTTCTTGTCAATGGTCCCCCAGAAAACCAAGAGCTCTACTTTGGATGTTGAACTTTTCATCCCTGTCCACAATCGTAAGAAGTGACTTGCTCAAGGGTGAGTCACACATTGCACAAACTCCGTGGTGAATATCTAGCCAAAGCTGCTGTCTTTGTTGAATCCTGAGAATCTTGCACTGTGGGAGTCGGGATAACCTTAATAACATTCCCATCCATTCTTGCTGAAAGAAGGAGGTGATAGGAGAACAGAACTGAATGCCGACACTGGCAACATCCCGCAGCTGTGTGGGCTGTAAACACAGACAGAGAGACTATTGGAGTACAGTGCTAAATCTCTTGAGGGTCACAAGTTATGGGAGGTAGGCTGTATTGTGAGTTTACGAGCTTTAGAATTGGATGTAATTTAGAGATGATGAGAAGCTATTGAAATGAGACGACCAAGTGTGTAATTGAGTGGTTGCTGCTGGCTGTGCTGTGGTGACCTTTACTATAATTTAATAACTACATGTCTCCATTGAGAGTCTTCTTGTGACTTGGTGCAGGACGACTGGGTGTGAGTTGAGAGGGCAAGTTCAAGACACGTATTGTTCAGGATGAGTGTGATAATTTAAGAAAAAAGTCTCATCTGTCACTTTCTTAAAATAGATTGAAAGAACAAAGGCCAACAGACTTTTCATACCTCAGTAACTGAGAGCTTCAGTTACTTGCAAGTCTCATTCTAAAGAAGGTGTGAATGAATGAATATTGAGAATAGTCATACTTCTGTGTAATAAATTAATAAAAAATAATAATAATCCTTGCATTTGATATAGCGCTTTTCATGTCTTCTAGGTGTCTCAAAGCGCTTCACAGAATGTACTGTAAAGTGAATTGACTGTATATTTGTGGGTGAAACACGGTAGCCAATTGCTCACAGCAGTGTCGCACAGTGGATTGAGTCACCAACTTGTTATTTTATTTATTTCCTTGAGGGATTATTATCAGGCATGTGGAGTAAGGAAACTTGCCCAAAGTTTGGCCCTGCAGGGAATTGAACCCAGGTCTCTCGCTCTAACCACTGAGCTACAGGACTCCACATCTTCATTAATCATTATCTTGATAAAATCAAGATAATGATTATTGCTGGAGGTTTTGCAGTGATTCTGAAAATGTTCAAGTTCTGGAGCGATGTTCTATGGATGCTAATCTATTGTTACCTTATTTCCATTCATGACCTTTGATGTTACTGCAAATCCTATTTGACTTACAAAGAAGTAAACATTCTGCTATCTGACATTCAGGTTGTTTTTTCCCCACACAAATAGGCTTAAGCTTCTTGTCTTTGATATTTCAGCCTGAAGAGTTAGCTTCTAGTTCCCACACATTCAAGAACAAGACTTTCAAGAAGCCCAAGCCCTGCAGCATCTGCAAGCAAGTCATCAGCAACAGCCAAGGTCTTTCCTGCAGAGGTGAGCCTCCAGAATATACCACTAGATTCAGTGCAGTGTAACTGTAATAGTGCTGATTGTCTTTCTTCAAAGCTTTATCATTGTCATTTTGCAACTTGCCAATGGAAACAAAAAGTAGTTCTTAAAATGCCTTTCAATTACTTTACCTATTACAAAATTACTCAATTGTAAACTGTGTATAAGTTACAAACGTCCATTAACAAGGTATTTGACTCCATATTAGTGACTGATATAAACAGATTCAGTTTTAACATGTTTTTTTCCCGAAACTTGGCACAAAGAGCCAAAAATGTGTGTGGTATTTTGTAAGGCAGCGCAAATAATAATTTGCCACTAGTTTTGCAAATGAAACATTAACTTCTAATTCAATAAAATAAAATGTTTGGTTTATTGTTTAAATAGCTGTACCCGTTGGAGCTATGTTGCAACCAGTTTCATTTAATTGGCCTTCTCTCTTTCGTCTGGTATAGATACTGAGCAGAGAATAGTCATTCCCCGGTTGGCAGAGGGAAGGTAGTGGGGAATTAGAAGATTGACTACGTTGAGCTGCTGTTGTGCACCTACTGGTGAATAGGAAAGATAGATATTGGCGATGGTTCTGAGGTTTTCCCAACTCCTTCGCTGCACAGAGGGATCTGAACTGTATGTCTGGGTGGGGTGGGGGGTGTGGTGGAGTGTGTGGAGAGGGGGGAAGGAAAGATAGTAATAGGACAGAAGGGGAGAAGGGAGAAGAAAATGTTGCATTTAGGAAAAATCTTATGTTAAGGAAGCAAAGAAACACTTTATGTAGTAAGCTATGCATACTTTCAACTATGCAATGCAGAATTGATTCTCCCTATCCTCATCTAAAGGAACAGGGGTTAGTTAGTGAACAATACATCTCTATCATGTCCTTGGAATAAAGTGCTGTAACTATTACACTAAAATGACTTTTATATACTGTATAACTTTTAAGGGGCTCCAGAATGATTTGAAACCAAACCCGTTTTGTGTGGGCAGCAGCTATTCAGAGTTTTCTGCATTTATATATAACTGAAATGATTGAGAGTGAGTAAATCATAAATATTTAGTCATTTCTGAAAATGGGAAATAATCATTAATGTTCAATATCAACTAAATAATGAGAATTCTTAAAAAAAGGAAGAAATAATAAGGATTTTATTGAAGTAAATGTAAGCAAGCAAAAATATGCCCAAAAAATAAGAGACTGACATATCTCTCCACAAGAATACTTCACTGGTATTATTTGCTCTGTTTCACAACTGTCTTGACTACTTTCACTCTCCCAACGATTTTAATTGAATAATTTTCTTCCCTCTTTTTTCTCTTCTGCTTGTCTTTGGTGGTGAAGCTGTTCAGGTGGGTTCTGTGTGTGCTTGCATGTGTATGTGTGCTTGCGTGTGTGTGCTTGCTTGCGTGTGTGTGCTTGCTTGCGTGTGTGTGTGTGCTTGCGTGTGTGTGTGTGCTTGCGTGTGTGTGCTTGCTTGTGTGTGTGTGCTTGCGTGTGGTGTGCTTGCGTGTGTGTGTGCTTGCGTGTGTGTGCGTGCTTGCGTGTGTGCGTGCTTGCGTGTGTGTGTGTGCTTGCGTGTGTGTGTGTGCTTGCGTGTGTGTGTGTGCTTGCGTGTGTGTGTGTGCTTGCGTGTGTGTGTGTGCTTGCGTGTGTGTGCTTGCTTGCGTGTGTGTGCTTGCTTGCGTGTGTGTGCTTGTGTGCTTGTGTGTGGGTGTGTGCTTGTGTGTGTGCTTGTGTGTGTGTGTGTGTGCTTGTGTGTGTTTGTGTGCTTGTGTGTGGGTGTGTGCTTGTGTGTGTGCTTGTGTGTGTGTGTGCTTGTGTGTGGGTGTGTGCTTGTGTGGGTGTGTGCTTGTGTGTGTGCGTGTGTGTGTGTGTGCTTGCTTGTGTGTGTGCTTGCTTGTGTGTGTGTGTGTGTGCTTGCTTGTGTGTGTGTGTGCTTGTGTGCTTGTGTGTGTGCTTGTGTGTGTGTGTGCTTGCTTGTGTGTGTGTGTGTGCTTGCTTGTGTGTGTGTGTGTGCTTGCTTGTGTGTGTGTGTGCTTGCTTGTGTGTGTGTGTGTGTTTGCTTGTGTGCATGTGTACTTGCTTGTGTGTGTGTGCTTGCTTGTGTGTGCACGTGTGTGTGTGTATGCTTGCTTGTGTGTGTGTGGCGGCACCAAGAGCATGTAAGTGCTTGTGTGGGATATGTGGTTTAGTTCATGACTATCTGGATGCATTACTATGTGCAAATATGTGTGAGGTGCAGACGTGTGCCACAGGGTGCCACGTGTTTGTGGTTTTGGCATGCAGCAAGGGCGTGTTAGCTCTTGAGGTATGAGGGATGTATGCAATCCAGTGTCCTGTGTGTGGTATTGGATTTGAAGTGTGAGAGCTCCTTCCTATCTAAAGTCAGTTTCTTATACAGACAATCAGATTTTCTCACATTATTTTAGTTAAGCAGGGATTTTGTATTTGTGGCTCAGCCCTTTTAAGGTGTCCCTACAGCAAACATCATTCCCTGTGTGGGAGTTGTTTAATTCTGTTTTGGGTCACTCCCCCACCCCAACCTTTACATCCTGGATGTACTGACTGGTGCTGGGATATGGTTGCACACTTCCAGTGCCTCCCACAATGCCATTCCCTAGCAAATCGTGGTTAGCCACTCCTCGTGTTTGTATGTAACAGGATGCTTGTAGTCATGTAAGAGCAATGATGTGAAATGTAGTTTTGCCTGAAGATTTTTTATATGTACTTTATAGTTTTGCGGTTGTTCTGTCATGATAAGGCTCATAATTCACGTGCGAGTCTAGGTGAAATATCGGCCAGATAAACAGTTATGGGGAGGTGCTAGATCTGTTCTCACAACAGGAGCTACTGAGTAGTTGTCAAGAGTGCAAAATCAAACACATTTTCCCTCTTTCCTACCCAAAGCTGTCAAGGCCATTTGTCGAGTGCCCTACTGCTGCTCCTATTGTGATTAGCTTCTTCAGTACATACCCAAATCAAACCTGGGTGTTTTCTGGTCTATGTGGCCCAGTTCCACATTGTACAGTGCGCTTACCACCCAAATGAGCAGCGTCACATAGGACCCAGAGTGAGATCTTGAGAGGTATGCTGGAGAAATATAAAGCGACTAAATGAAAACATGGGATCTCCAAACTAATACTCCCAACTCTTTTATTTTAAGGTGGAGGATAACAATCTCTGGGAGAAGATTGTTGAGCAGTAACTTGATTCAGACATTTGGAAACTCTTAACTTCTGGTTGTTGGCATCTTGGATGTAACTCTCTTGTATATTTTGTTTGTTTGAATAATATGTGGTGTTGGGAGGGGTTCGTTATAGATTTTGGGTTGCTGATGTCAGTTTCTGTTCATCTCCTGGAATTAACTAAATCACAAGATAAGTATGGATGAAAAAGGCACAAGATCTCATCCCTGAATAATACCCACCCTACAATCATCTCATTACGGCAGCAAGCGTTTTTTAAAAAATGATACATTCATGTGGTTATTTCTCCAGATGGTTAATGCTTCCAGTATAATCATCACTTATTTAACCAAGAGTTATATTATAAACAGTTAAACTATCTGTTTGTTGACCTGTTTGACTGAAGAGAGAGGTTGCTGTGACCATTTTAGAATTGCCTCTGACCTTCAGTGTATAACTAACATAATAATCACATTTGATTCATGCTGTGAATGTGAGGTCTGCATCACCCGTATAACTGTGTCCTATTGCTGTGGAGCAATAAGAATACTAGTGGTTACATTTGATATAGCACCTTTCATATCAAAAGTTACAAAGCACTTCACAGGATCTAGTGTAAAGTGTAGTGACTTGCCTATTTGTAGATGAACAAAACAGCCAAGTTGTGCAAGGCATTGTGCTACAAGCAGCCATGAAATGAATGACTAATTTTTATCTGGATAATTGTTGGTCAGGACACCACAAGAAATTCCATCCACTTTTTGAAAAATGCCATGGGATCTTTATTGGCCTCCTGAACAGACAGATGGGACCTCAGTTCAATATTTCATCTGAAGGACAGCACCATTGACAATGCAGTGTTGTCCAGGACTACATCGGATTGTCAGCCTAGACCATGGTCTCAGTGCTCCAAAAGTAGGGCTTGAACCCACAACTTCAGACTCAGAGGCAAGAGACTGACACCTATTGCAATGGTAGATCATGGGGTATGATTGACAGCTAACCTTGGAAATCATGTTATAAACTGACAGTATTATATTACACAGGAAAAATGATTTTTAACTTTTTTTAGGGTTGTTTTGTGAGACCCGTTGACTTGTACAACACAAATTCGGGATACTAGCCCAATTGTTTATAATTTTTTTTTGTTTCTTTTTCAGTCTGCAAATATGCTTGCCACAAGAAATGCGAGTCAAAGGTAAGAAGGAACAAAAAGTAGAGAATTCATTTGTAAATCACTATGTAGAATGTGATAAAAAGATCAAATTACTTTGACTATCTATGATGCACGGTTTCATTCTCTGCTATGCAAGTCCCTTCAAAGGTATTAGTGAAATTCATATGGCCTCATTGGCCTTCTAAATCTCCTGCAAAGATTGTTCTCACCTGAGAAAGGTACAATTTCTTTTCTGGACATTTATTGGAAAACTATTGCTTTGAATTAACCCAAATCTGAGGTACTTGGGACCTAAGACAATTTTGATTATTCATGTTCCTGCAAAATGTTGAAGGTCTAATTTACTGCACTACCCCTTAGCAGTGTGAAGGACGGGAATGAGCTATTGATCTCAGTAGCCTTGCTGCGGGAAGATGTTACAAAAATAATATTACTATAATGCTCCTTGTGTTTGCTTCACATTGCATCTTCTGTCTCCCTCCACTGTCAACCTGGACAGACTGTTCCAGTATATTGTAAAAGGAATTGGACTGGTGGGAAAATAACACTTAGAACCAGCCATTTTTAAAAAATAAATAGAACAATTTTGTTTAACTACCTTATCAAACCATGTGCAGGAAGCACCTCCAACAAGAGGTTTACTGTTTAGATCCATTATGTTACAATCCAAGTTCATGCAGCTTTTTTGCGAAAGTTTGGCAGCTGGCGTTCCTTCAGGTGTTAGAAGTAACTACAGAAAACTATTTTCCAAATTAAGATTAAATTGATTTTGAGTTTTCCAAAATTCTGTGCAAATTTAGGTTTTAAGTCTTACAGTTGAGAGAGGGATTTTGGGGTATTGGGTTTGTCTACACATTACAATGAGACTTAGAGTTGTTGCTTCGGAGTTGCTCATGATTGACTGAAGATGGTATTGATGGAGATACTTTGGCTGCAGTACAGCTTCCCTGAAACAACAGGGAGTGTAAACAATGGTTTTAGTACCTCCGTAAGTAACAAAGTAAGTATAAATTGCAGTGCGATTTGAGCTCATAAGTGTTGCACAGAAACCCCTTTAAGTCTAGGTTTGCTGGTATAACTAAAGCTTGACCTTACAATGTGAATAGGACTGTTGACACAGAAATGGAATTTGTTAATGCTTTGTTAATGACTTTCCCCAAAGTATTCTACATAGGGTGCTTTTAATCAAAAGAACATTGGAATGCAGTCCAGGGTGACCTTGAACAATAAATTGTGCAGACGGGATATTAATATGTGCTCCACTGCTACATTAACTCTCTAATTTTTTTTAAAAAATCTGGTCAGCATTAAGAATCTAAGTGATGAGGGGCTAACTTCAGGCTTTTTCTCTAAATGGGGGAAGTGCTACATAAGGAGTTCTCATGTCCTGACTTTACCAGGGCTTTTGAACGAAACCAGTTTTATGAAAATCCTGGTCAACATGGCCTGGTGATAAATGAAATTCTTGGTAAATTGAAATGCACAAAATTAAAATGACTATAACTGTTTCCTGATTTGCGGTAATCTTCATGCCATTATAAGGAAAAAAACAAGTGTAGTTACGTTCTGCTGCAACAAACCCTCTGGTTATGTCCGGCTGTTTGCATTGTTTGACATCTTGTCGCCATTTGGCCTGGTATTTTTTCCATTGAAAATTTGTCTGAGTTCTGAGGTAATTGAAAACATGTTTTATGGTTTCAGGTGAACTTTACTCTTGTTTTTACAGCTGTTATTGTTTCGAGTTAAGATTGGTACTTGATGGCAGCTCAGTGAGGCATTGGAGTGCTAATGCATGTTGGCAAGCAGTTGCCGTGGCTTCATTTGGCCACTCCCCTCAGTTTTTGATCTGAACCATTCTGTGGTGCGGAGGTGCCCGATGAAGACATAAATCTCCTAGCAAATCAGAGGGATATCAGATGGGAGGTCTCAATTGCACTTGGCAACCAGCAGAATGCTGGAGTGGCAATTTATGTGTGAGTCTTGAGAGTGGGTGTTGATAGGGTTTGGCCGGTTGTACAGCTGTAGGGGCCATTACAGCTGAGCCTGATTCTTTCCTCACCCGATGAATGCACACATGTACTTTGTGGAAGGGGACTCTGGATAACCATTGGGGAGTGTGAGCTGATTTTCCTCCCCTTCCTTCTCTAACCCAGAGGAACCTGTCTTAGATCATGTTAGGCTTATATTCTGTGCCATTCAAGTGGCACTCAGATCTCATTCTTCCTATTTTGAAACAACGATGGCGGGCGCTGATAGTGGTAGTCGAAGGCTTTGACTGGCTTCAGGCCAAGCTTTTGTGCCAAAGCTAGGGAGAAGGTGTTTTTATACGTTACACATTGCAGCGGAGCTTGATCCTGTTCTCACCTACTGTCTTAGCTCCTGTCCACATTCATGCATTTTCCAGTATGGATCCTAGTGATCAGCAGTATTAAGATTACTGAGTCTCCCATCCTTATCCAGAGACACCGAGGTCAATTTTAGTCTTTCCAATTACCCCCTTCTCCCCCTGTCCTCCATTGCTGCCTGTCCTCACTGAGATTGAGACTGCAACCTTCTGATTTTAAAGGTACAATTACCACAAACCCATTACAATGTATGGTTAGATTAGTGTTTGCTTCATACTGTTCATTATGCAAAAGTACATCTGAATAGCTCCTAAATTCTTTAGTGCCACAAATTCCAGCTAATTTATGCACCCCTTAACAAAAAGTTGACCTAGAAATCTGATATTTCAATATAAAGAACTACCTGTACTATGATTATCAGTACGTCAGGCAAACAATGTAGGCACCTCAGGTAACGGAGATTAAACAGTCCGGTTTAGAAATATCGTGGTTCCCACAATCTGACACCATTATAATTGAAGGTAAACAGAAAAAGGAAGAGCGCCCATGGGTGTAGAGAAAGTCTTATCAAAAAAGGCAGGAGTGTATTTTTAAACTCTTCTATTTGTGATAGATTTGTCTGGCATCTGATTTGATCAGGTTTGTGCTGCCCAAGGTTACGCAGAAACAAAGTTTGATCATTGTGAAGTCTAGACACCAAGTGTCTCATTCCAAAAGATTTAACAAAGCTGAAAATGTATGACTATCCGATTATTGACAACTGATGAATCACGTATTGGGGAATAGATGTGTCACAGGCCTATATCTTAATCGAGGTGATGGAGGTGTGTAAGGTTCTCACTTGGAGAGAGGGAGAGGAACCCGATGAGAGGAATACCTTTGGTGCCAGGGAGGTTCTGTTTTTTTAGTCATCTTATTTTCCACCCACACCCCCAAGGGACACACACCAGCTTGGGTTCTCAAATCAGCTGTGTGAAGAGTTTTGACACGTCTTCTTGATGTGAAAGGCCGTAGATGGATGTAAATTGTTGTTGTGGATTGAGAAAGTTGTTTTTCATCTTTTAAAAAATAGCATGATGTGTTCTGTGCTGTGTAGCTTGTTTATAGCTCACTGAATAAAAGTTATAATTATTTGTAATAATAATACATATAATTGATATAGCACTTGAAATGTTGAAAGATCTCACAAATAATTGCAGGTAATGGCTGTATTTGTGGGCAAATCCGGCACACAGCAAGGTTCCACTCACAGGCTTTAAGTAAACAACCAATTTATCTGAAGTTTTGCTGGCTAGCATTACAAAGAGAAATCCCCTTCTCTTTTCTAATAGTGTTGTTGGATCTTTACCTTCCAAATAAACAGGCTGATGGGTCCGTTGTTTAATGTCTCATCCAAAATCCTGATGTAGGTCTTATACCCACAACCTTTTTTGATCTTGCATTTAAAGCATGTGACTGAATATGGATGATTTATAAGGGAAGGAAAAGATGGAGTTGATTTGTTTGTTTAATATACAATAGCGATTTACAGTACTCTGGACAGTATTATAAGTTCGTACACTTCACCTAAAGTGATGGAAATGTATACCTGTTGATTTACACAGTGGAGCTCCAATTGTTCATGTGTCTGTTTATCAGCATAGACTTTGGAAATGGAAGTTGGACACGAAGATTTCCACAAGGCAAAAATAATGTGCCAGTTGTGTGCAATATTTCTACGGCCTCTCAGAGTCTGGCTACTTGATGTGACCAATCTCATGTACACGAGTGCAACTTCGCACATAAGCACCAACAGTGTTTTTTTTGTTGGGCCAAGGTTTTATTTGTAATTTATTTTTACATTCTGCATTTTCAGGTTAGAGACATATTTTGTAGTGTTAAAGAGAGATGTAGAGACTCCGAGAAAGAGAACAAAAGAGACATAATGAAAGAGAAAAATAGTCTCACAGAATGAGAGTCAAAGTGGCAGAGAGAGAGAGAGAAAAGCGAGTTTCATTGCTGTTTATAGTATACCAGCTGTACCCGTTACAGCTTCCCTTGCAACCAAAGCATCCAATATAGAATATAGATTGACACACAGATAGACACACTTATCCTTGAAAGGTTTGATTTTCACTTAGGCTTCTTTATAATTATAAATGTATAATTTGTAATCACTGGGATGTCCTCCCAATGTGAAAGGTGCTTTAAAAGTGTAATTTTGTTGTTGTTGCTGCAGCTTAGCTTCTGTGTGTTCTTTATGTTGTTCCCGCCGCCTTTTGGCTACGTGCGTGCTCTGTGACTCAGGATGCCACAGCGCCACAGTCATCCAGAGTGGGTAACTACACGATGCCTCAGCGACCACCAGTTGTAACTGCAGCAAAAAACACAAAACTGAAATACATTGTAGGTCATAACTCATGAACAATATGAGATACCTGAAAACAAATATGCCCATGTCACTCTCGGTTGCAAGACATTTCCAATGAGGTATAAATCATGCCTCTATGTCAATCGGTTAATGAGATCCTTCTTGAAGCGCACACAGCCAGACATTGTCGTTTCATTAGTATAGATTTATTAGTATAGATGACTGTGAGGAAATTAGTTGCTGTGTTCACCCAAAAAAAGTAGTCACTACACTTGATAATAAAATTAAACATTTCGACATCGAGGAATTGTATCAAATGCAAGGAT